TCCTCCTCCTTCCGTTGCCCCGTTTGCTCCTCATCCCCCTCCTCCCTCCTCCCTCCTCCCTCCTTGTGGCTCATCGGCGGGGATGCGGAGGAAGGGGCGCAAATATCACAGCATGCGTCCGTCTTCCGCCTCATCCTGGCCCGCCTCGCACCGCCGGAACATCGGCATCGAGGAGGAGGAGGAGGAGGAGGAGGAGGAGGAGGAAGGAGGAAGGAGGAGGAGGAGGAGGAGGAGGAGGAGGAGGAGGAGGAGGGAGGAGGGAGGAGGGAGGAGGTGGAGGAGGGGGAGGAGGAGGAGGAGGCCTCCCGCTCCTCTCCCCCTCGCCCTCCTCTTCTTCTGACCAGGCCGCGGGAGCGAGAGCGCTCGAGGCGCCTGTTTTTGCGGGCCCCGCCGCCCGCCCGCTCGCCCTGCACTGGCCGGTGGCAGCGCGGGAGAGCCAGCAGGAGAGAGCAGAGCAGCAAGAGAAGGAGTGGCGGACCAGCGAGAGGGACAGCACGAGGAACCCACCACGAACGAACGAACGAACGAGCGCCGATGACCGCAACCGCGCCCACGCGCGGCCGCGTGCCTTGAAGGCGTCGGCGGGGGGGCCGGAGCCCCTCAGATGATGAAGAAGACGTTCCGGGGTCAGCACGGTGTCTATCTGCCGCGTCTTGTTAAATGAATGCCACAACATCATCGTATCGGCTGATATTTGCGCATAAAATGAAAACACCATCTGGGAGCTCAAGATCAGCAGCTGTCAAATCTGTTGAAACATGAAGCATCAATGAACCACGTTCCTGATCAAATCCCCTCCTCCTTCTCCCCCGTCCCCTGTCAGTCCTCCTCTTCCTTGCCCCATCTGCTCCCCTCCCCCCGTGGGGGGGGGGAGACCCCAGGAGCGATCATGGCTGCGGGCCTCCCCCAGGCGCTCGTAATCGAAACCGACGATGTGCCGCGTCCTGCGGCTTCGGTGGGTTTTCAGCCAGCTTCCGCCGACGGGGATGGGCACGCCAACCCGTACAGTCATCGTGCCACCATAAAGAACGATGAATACGGAACGAAGGGGCTTGTTTGGCCACGGCGGGACGCGACCACGAACAGGTCCCCCGATATTGATGTAAGGAGCGGTCACAAAACTGGAGCCCCTCTTGAGACCAAAGTGGCCCTCATTATTTCAGCGTCTCGGCTGTAGCACCTCAATTGGGGGGGGGCAGTTCTGGAAGGGCCCGTGCGGGTTATGTTCAGTACCCGATCGCCGCTGATGGACGCGATGCTGACGGGGTCCGTGGTGTTGGTCTGCAGGGTCCAGCCGAACGGGCGCAGCCCGTCGGTCCACGACAAGGTCACGGAGAACATCTTCTCGAACGACCTGCATCACGCTGAGATAATGAAATGGCCATGGTACGGCCGGACCTGGGGCAACATCCTCCAAGAACATGGAACCCTCCACTGGTCAGGAAACCCCAAAACATAAGATCACTCGAGGGTACACTCCCCCTGGATGCACGGGGACATCCAGCAAGCACGACGAACATTACGGCACTCTCCCCGAACCGACCACGATTGTATACCCCGGTCCAACCGTAATGATGATGATGATGATGAAGAAGAAGATGAAGATGATGATGATGATGATGATGATGATGATGATGATGATGATGATGATGATGATGATGATGATGATGATGGTGATGGTGACGATGATGATGATGACGACGATGATGATGATGCAGATGATGATGCGGAAAATGATGATGACGATCATGATGATGATGATGGTGGTGATGATGATGATGGTGATGGTGATGATGATGATAATGGTGATGGTGATGATGATGACGGTGGTGGTAATGGTGGTGGTGATAATGGGGATGATGAAGACGGTGACGTTGGAGCTGGCGACGATAGTGATGATGACCATGGCGATGGCGATGGCGATGGCGATGGCGATGTGGTGATGGTGATGGTGATGGTGATGGTGATGGTGATGGTGATGGTGATGGTGATGGTGATGGTGATGGTGATGGTGATGGTGATGGTGATGGTGATGGTGATGGTGATGGTGATGGTGATGGTGATGGTGATGGTGATGGTGATGGTGATGGTGATGGTGATGGTGATGGTGATGATGATGATGGTGATGGTGATGGTGATGGTGATGGTGATGGTGATGGTGATGGTGATGGTGATGGTGATGGTGATCGTGATGGTGATCGTGATGGTGATGGTGATGGTGATGGTGATGGTGATGGTGATGGCGGTTGCTATGGTGATGCTGATGTTGAGGACGATGGTGATGGTGGTGGCGGTGGTGATGGTAATCGTGATTGTGATTGTGATGATGGTAATGATGATGATGACGACAATGATGATGATGATAATGATGATGATGATGATGATGATGATGATGATGATGATGATGATGATGATGATGATGATGATGATGATGATGATGATGATGATGATGATGATGATGATGATGATGATGATGGTGGTGGTGGTGGTGGTGATGATTGTGGTGGTGGTGATGGTGATGGCGACGGTGATGGGAAATGGTGAAGGAGCTGGTGATGGTTATGGTGATGGTGATGGCGATGGTGCTGGTGATGGCGCTGGCGGTGCTCCTGGCGATGGTGATGGTGATGGCGAATGATGGCGACGATGGCGATGATGATTACTTTCCCGACTCCGCGCAAGCGAGCGGGCGTCGCAGCGCGAAGGGCGCGGCCGACGCGCGCGGGCGGGAAGACAGGCCCGGGGCCCCTCCCCCAGGCGCGCGCGGGCCGAGTGCCGCCGCTCTGGCAGGCACCGACGAACGGCGCCGAAGAGCGCTAGCAGCAGCTTCGCCTCGGCGAGGAAGGAGGGGGAGGAGCGCGGGGAGGGGGGGGGGCAGCCGGACGCCCGCGAGGCGACCAGCTGTCCCCGACTCCGCGCGAGGAGAGGGGGGAGAGCACCCCGACTCCGCGCAAGCGAGCGGGCGCCACAGCGCGAGGGGCGCGGCCGACGCGCGCGGGGGGGAGAGCCCAGCAGCGGCCAGGGGCCCCCCGCCCCCCAGGCGCGCGCTGGCCGAGCGCCGCCGCTCGGGCGGGGATCGCCTGGAGGGCGCTGAAGAGCGCCAGCAGCCACACCCATGCTCAAAGCCCGCTCGAAGAAACAAGGCTTTGGCGGGCGGCCGAAACCTGCCTTGACCACACACAGCGGGGCCAACGACAGGAGAAGATGCGACGAGGCGGTCGCCGGCGGCACAGAGTAGCACGCCATGCGCGCGCGAGCCAAAGCAGGACGGGCGGGCAGAACAGGCGATGCGACGGCGGCCTGGAGACGGCGCTCAGCGCTGGGAGGCCTGGCGCCAGCGGCCACGCCAGAAGACGCGAGGGGCGTCTTCTGCGGCCACATAGGGGTCCGTCGCCCCAGAACATCGCAAACAGGCAGGCGCGAAGTTCAGCCCGCGGGCCGCACAGGACAACGGGGCACCCACAGCCGAAAACAAATGGCTCCACCGAGCACAGAAGCCGCTCTGCCCGAAGGGCGACAGCGGATCGGTGGAGCACAAATGCTGGAGCACCAGTTCCAGGAGCCTCCACGACGACCCATCGGAGCAACGAGCGCGCTGCGTCGGGCAAGCACGGTCTCCGGCGCCTTTGGGACAAGAGAGACATCAGCGCTGGCCCCCAACCGATCGCTGGGCAGCGAGAGGTCGCAACGGCGGGCGACAAGCAGTTCACCGAGGCGAAGGCACACGGCGAACCCCATGAGAGAGAGGGCCGCCGTAAGAGGCCAGTCCAACAGCAAGCCGAGGCCCACCATCGCCCGAACAAGAGCGCAGGGCAGCAGCGGGCAGGGCGCGGGGGGGCTCGGCGGCAATTTCCCACCGCTCGGCCACATCCCAGACTTCCGAAAGGAAAACACTCCACTAGAGGCACTCAATTGGAATACCCAAAATATCGCGCAGCAGGATATAGCGCTGAAAGACCGCATCGCGAAGCCACGCGCCGAAGATGGCGAGAAACCGAAAGAGCAGAAGCCCGGCACGGCAAAGCGCGGCTGGAGCGACGCGCGAATGTCCCACGAGCCAGAGGAAGCTGGCCGCGGGGGCCAGCACCAAGCTTCTTGCGCTCGCGGGGCCCTCGGCCTCGACGCGGGGGCGCGAGGGCCCGCGCAAACCGCGCGACCACGCAGACCCGCGCAGCGCGCGACCTCGGCGTTGCGGACCACCGCCCGCAGGAGCTCGCGGCGGTCACGCCCGAGCTGGACGGGCGCGGCGCGCTTCAGCCCGCGGGCTTCGCGCCCCGCGGCCCTCCGTCAGCCGCCGATGGCACTTAGGGCAAGGGCCCTCGCGTGAGACCGCGCGCGGCCAGGCTGCCGATGAAAGCGGCCCGCGCGGCGCGGATCCCGCCCAGTTCGACGCGCCCGCGCGCTGCAGCCTGCGCGAGCCCCGCAGGGCTCGCAGCGGCCAGCAGGGAGCTCGCGGAGCCCAGACCGCGGACGGCTGCCGAAGCATCAGGCAGGGCCTGGCGCAGGCGCAGCTCAGCCTCGGCCGCGGGCACTCGAGCGGACGCCGCATCGTCGAGCGCTGCCCGCACGGAGGCGCGCCCAGCGGGGATCCTCTGGCGGGCCCCCCTTCCCTGGGCCTCGGCCTCGGCCAGAGCGCGCGCGACAGGGGCGCCAGCGCCCGCGGGCTGCGGCGCCGCTGCGCAGGCCTGCACGACCTCAGTGCCCCACAGCGTGCGCCAGCGGGCCGCCCGCGCCTCCAGAGGCCCGGCAGTCCCGCCACCGACAGGAGCCTGGCGGAAGGCGGCCTCGATGACGGGACGAGGCGCGCCCAGGGGCACCCCCGGCAGAGCGGCCGCCGTCCGCAGGCGCGCGGCGCACACGAAGCGACGGGGCGCAGCGAGCTGGCGCCCCGGGGGCGCCGGGGTCGAGCCGCGACGGCCCGGGCGATCGCCCGTGCTGGACAGCGGCGGGCGCACGCAAGCTCCCGAGGGGCGACGGGCCCCGGACGAGGGCGCGGGGGGGGGGGCTTCAGGGGCAGCCGCCAGCCCTGCGCCCGCGTCGGGACCCTCGCTGCCAACCGCCTGGGGAGGGCCCACGCCCCAGCGACGGAGCCGCCTCAGGGCAGGGCGGACCCGAGGGGGGCCCGAAGCGGAGCGAGAGCCACGACCGCGGAGCGCGCATCTCCCTGCGGGGCCGTGACGGCATCGCTGAAGCAGCATCGACCCCACTCAGCCCAGGCACATAGCAGCCGCGACGTCGCGGAGGCGATCAAGCCGTCGCGACCCCTGCCCTCGGCAACGGTGCGCAGAACGCGCGTGCCCCCCATCAGGCCCCACTGGCCCCATGTGGGCCTTGCCCGGAGCGAAGTCCCCGGCTGCGCGGACGCCAGCGGCGCTTTCGCGTGCCCCGCCGTCCGCGGGGCGTCCTTGCGCGATCCACAGAAGGCCGTCTCCTTCGGAATCGCCCTGCGCCGAGAGCCTTCGGGCGCCCACCAACGGGAAGAAGGGCAACTGGGCCTCCCTCTCCGCGCGGGGACTGGTCGCCTGCACGGGCGGCGCCTCCAGCCCCGCGAGGGGCCGGGCGGCCTCCATGCAGCCGCGGCTCCCCGCCAGTCGGTCGACGAACATGCACTGGCAACGTACTCGGGCCGCCACCCTGCCCGCATCCCCGCACCCAGACGCGCGCCACGGCTCCGCACTGAGCCACGCAGAATGCGCGAGGATCTCGCGCGTCGCCGGGCGGGCCCCCGAGCGGGCTGTGCTCGCGAAAGTATTGGAACATCATGGGGGGTGACCGCAGACAGCTCCGCCCCCAGAGCACAGCAAACAGCACGTGCTGCACGAGCACCTGCTGCCATTGCCTGCGACGCGCAACGCCGCGCATCGAAGTTCAGGCAGCCCCGCCCTCGGCCCCCGCGCGGGCGGCCCAGTGGAGGAGGTCGCCCAACGCCCCCAGCCAGGGATGCGCCGCCGCCCTCGGCGGCCCTTGACCGCGGGAGGGACCCCCGCAGGCACAGACATGCCAACTCCCAAGCAGACTCGGCGATGCTGCTTACTCGGGGCTCGTCTCCTGCGGCGCCCCCCTCGGCGAAGCCGCCGCTTCCGTCGGGCCCTGTCCGCCCTGGCGGCGCGGGGAGCGGCGGCGGGCCCAAGGGTGGTGGGAGCGGAGGGCACGCGCTCCCCGGCCCGCCCTCCCCCCAAGCTGCCACTGGAGCCGACGCCGGCGCGGCTGCGCGGCTGCGAGCCCGCTGCAGGAGGGGAGGCGACTGGGCGAACCTCGCCTGGAGGTCCTCCCGCGGGGGGTGCCTGCGCGCGCCGACTCGTCGGCGAGCAACTGCGGCGCCTCGAGGCGGGCTCCCTGTAGGCTGGCACGCGCCCCCAGGGGAGGAGCCGCCGCCTGGGCCGCGATCGCAGCCATCAGACGCTGGACCTCCAGAGGCCTCCGCTGGAGTCATCGGCGCCCCTCCGCCGAGAGCCGCAGCGATGGCCCCTCCCGCCCGCGGACGGGCCATGCCAGCCCAAGGCTTCGACTTGGCGCCTGGACGGCTTCGCGCCGACACGGGGCCAACCTCATGCAAAGACGGGACCCGCGACGGAAGAGGAGGGAGGTCCTCGCCCTCGGCGTCGTCCTCCAGGCCGCCGCCCTCGAACTCGTCCGCGGACTGAAACGGGGTGGGAGGAGGAGGAGGAGGAGGAGGAGGAGGAGGAGGAGGAGGAGGAGGAGGAGGAGGAGGAGGAGGAGGAGAAGGAGGGGAGGAGGAGGAGGAGGAGGAGGAGGGGGAGGAAGAGAACTCGTCCGCGGACTGATGCGTGGTGGCCGTCTCGGAGCCCAGAGCGGCCTCGGCCCCCCTCGGCGGGCGCTGCGCCGCGGGTGGCCACGCAGCCCCCTCGCGAAGGCCGAAGACCCCCCGTGGGGCGCGGCCGATGCGCACGGCGGCGGGCCGCTCCGAACGGGACAAGCCCGTCGAGGACTCCCTCGCCCAGAGGGGTGAGAGCCTCGAGAGGCCTCCCAGATGGGGTCCGAGTAGATGGGGCACGATCCTCCGACCACATCTACTCTGACCCCATCTAGGAGGCCTAGAGCCTCGAGATCCATCTCCGGGACCTCCAGGTCTCCCACCAGCACGGGAGCAGTCGTGCTCCAGCGGGCGAGGTGTCGCGCCGAGGCAGGGCAAGCTGACCACTTGGATGGGGTCCACTGGCCCTGTGAATCCTTCCGCCTCGGCCAGACTGAAACTGCCGGCCGAGCCGAAGGACCCGGGCAACGCCAGCAGGATACCCCCAGGCCGAGCGGGCAGAGGGCTCGCGGCGCAGCTCGACTCGCCCTCCTCCGACCGCCACCCGGTCGTATCGTGTGGCCGACGGCGGAGAGAACGGGCGGAGGCCGGGCCAGACGGGCCCATCGGGGACGGCGTGCCCCCCCGCTGCATCGAAGCAGTGGCTGCCATTGTTGGCAGCGCGCGCGTGGCCCGCGTGGGAGGAGGGGGAGGAGGAGGAGGAGGAGGAGGAGGAGGAGGAGGAGGAGGAGGAGGAGGAGGAGGAGGAGGAGGGGGACTACAGTCGCGGGGCCCGGCAGCGGGCGGGCCTCGCGAAGCGGGCCCCGCGCGCGCTCCTCGGCCCCCTTGCTCCCGGGCCGCGGGCCAGGGCGGCCCGCGCGCCCGCGGCCGTGCCCGCCGGGGGCGCTCCGACCGCGGCGCGCGCGGGGGGGAGGTAAAACGACACGAAGATCGGGACAAAATCGGATCGGGAGAACTCGAAATCTCTGAGAATCGGCGGGTTTGGAGGATGTCTTGGGCGCCGCGGCCGCTCCAGAGCGTGCCGGAACGCTCTGAGAGCGCTCCGGAACGCTCTGGAGCGATTTATCCCGATCCTAGCCCAGTTCTAGGAGGGCCGTCGGTGTCCCCCACGGCGGGCCACGGCGGCCTCGGTGCGGCGGCCTCGCAGAGGCCGCAGGCGGCCGTGGCCCCGAGGAGGGCCGCCGGCGTCGAGGGCAGCACGGGGGTGACCCCGAGGAGGGCGGCCACCCCGAGGAGGGTGACCCCGAGCAGACTTGAGCAGCGGGGCCACCCCGAGGAGGGTGACCCCGCTGCTCCAGTCCACCGCCGGCCCCAGGCAGACGGCAGGGCAGGCCGCGCCCCAGGCGGCAGGGGGGCAGCGCCCCCCGCCGCTCGGGTCGGCCTGAGCGGACCACGTCGTCCCCGCGGAGGGGGGGCCGAGGTTCGCAAGCGATGGGAGAGGCTGGCCGACGAACCGCTCGTAGAGCGCGGCTGGTAGGCCTCGGAAGAGAAGCTCGCCCGTCCCCTCGATGGCTGCCTGAGCGAGCGCCTGCATAAAGCGCCCGCCTAGTGGAAGCCACGCGGAGGTTTGGGCAAAAACAGCTGCGACTCCCGCGAGGCGCAAGGAGAGGGGAGAATAAGAGGATGGTGATGATGCTGATGATGCTGATGATGATGATGATGATGATGATGATGATGATGATGATGATGATGATGATGGTGGTGATGGTGATGATGATGATGATGCTGATGCTGATGCTGATGCTGATGCTGATGCTGATGCTGATCATGCTGATGTTGCTGATGATGATGCTGATGATGTGGCTGCTGCTGCTGCTGATGATGATGATGACGGTGATGGTGATGGTGATGGTGATGATAATGATGATGATGATGATGCTGATGATGCTGGTGCTGGTGCTGATGATGATGATGCTGATGATGATGATGATGACGATGACGATGACGATGACGATGACGATGATGATGATGATGATGATGATGATGATGATGATGATGATGATGATGATGATGATGATGGTGCTGGTGCTGGTGCTGATGATGATGGTGCTGGTGCTGATGATGATGGTGATGGTGATGGTGGTGGTAATGGTGATGGTGGTGGTGATGGTGATGGTGATGGTGATGATGATGATGACGATGAAGATGGTGATGATGATGACGATTATGAGGGTGATGATGATGATGATGATGATGATGATGATGATGATGATGATGATGATGATGACGATGATGATGATGATGAACGAGCAACGTCATCAAGATCACCCGCCAAAACATCATGATGGAATTTGTATCGGCCTCCTTCGTCGCCAGACAAGCGCCACGTGCTTTTCGCCCTGAGGAAATTTGCCCCGATCATGCACGCGGCGGTCATGCGGAAGAGGGGCGCTCTGTCTTGCAAGCCCTGCACCGCCACTCCCTCCTACTGCTTTCGCGATCCACTCGCGCGGCTCCCGATGCAGAAGACCCCTCGAGATCTCAACACCAAACGTTGCGATTTCTGGCCCGGGCTCACCTGTTCTCGAGCTCCTCGACCACGGACTTAGGCCTCCTGACGTGCAAGGACAGGGTCATGTTCGAGGCGTTGCCGACCTGATCCACTTTGCGCAACTGCAAGCCAATGCGGCCCTCGAACGCCTTGGAGTTGTGGTGCCACACGACGTGGTTCGCCTTCAAGATCTCGTCGCCAGGGTAGATCCGATATTCTGGGTGATCTTGGTTCCAGCGGGCCACGAGGCCCGTACTGTTGAGCTTGCGGACGGACACCGGCTCCCAGTCGACGGTGGTGTTCAGCTCCCAGCCCATCTCGTGCCCTGCTCTGGAGGTCACCAAGTCCCCATGTGTCTCCAGGGGTCGACAGAGGCCTCCACGGAGGTCCCCCGGAAGCCTCCGAAGACCCAGGCAGGGCCAACACGCTCAGAAGCATGCCTTTGTGGATAAGGATATACAATATCCTTCTCCTCTACCCTCCTCCCTGTCCTGGCCTCGCACCAGAGAGATGTTGGCGGTGAACTCTTTCGTGTACAGCTGACGGTGCAAGTCCTGCCTCTGCGACTCGTAGCGGACCTCCCTCTGGCGCCTCGGGCGCTGGATGGCCAGGGTCAGCACGCGCTTGGCGCCCTCCCTGTACTCCTCGTTGCCAGTGCACAAACGGGCTTGGGGTCAGGGGGGCCGCCGTTCAAGAAGGCAGGGCGTTTCCAAGGCCACACTACCGGCGATGTTGGTCAACGGCGATGTTGGGCACTGATTCCTGCGACGCCGAACTCGCGCAGAACAAAGTGCGGGAAGACACGAACAGGCCGTTCCTGCAATTGGGATGGCCACGCACCGCCCACACCTGCCATACCGAAACCTACATCGCCACTACCCACATCGCCGTTCAAGTGTCTGCGGGGCTTGCTTCGAGGACGTCGAGACTTCTGAGGGGTCTTCTTCGGTGCTGGGACGGGGCCTCCCGGGCAGCCGCCTGCCTTCTCAAAGGGGCCTTCTGCGCACCGCTGGCCTTGGCGGCGAGGAACTGGCCCCTGATGCGCTCGGCAAAGGTATGCGTGTTGTGGTGCCAGAGGATATCGTTGACCTTCATGTGTTCTGCTAGTCCAGATTCCTCCTCCTCCTTCTCCGCCTCCTCCTCCTCCTCCTCCTCCTCCTCCTCCTCCTCCTCCTCCTCCTCCTACTCCTCGTCATCCTCCTCCTCGTCCTCCTCCTCCTCCTCCTCCTCCTCCTCCTCCTCCTCCTCCTCCTCCTCCTCCTCCTCCCCCCAGACCAGCCACGAGAGGGGCGGCCTCTTGCCCAGACCCCACTGAAACCCTCCAAGACAGCTCCAATCAGACCCCCAAAAAACAACACCACCCCCCTTTTACTGTGAAGTCCGGAATATGTTTCTCTTTTTCCTCAAAAACCACACAAAACAAGCAGGCAAGCGCGAGGCCCTGGACCTTGCTCCATGCAGCGTACTGCTGATGATGCGTGGAACCGAAGAGGCGAAGAACGGGGCGGACAGAGGAGAAGGAGGAGGAAGAGGGGGAAGAGGATATCGTTGACCTGCATGATCTCATCGCCCACGTGCACCGCCATGTCCGGATTGGCTCTGTTCCAATCCTCCAGCAGGCCGTTCTTCTTGATCTTCAGGACCACGATAGGGGTGAAATCCGTGTCTGCATCCAGCTGCACGCCCATGGTCTTGCCTGAGAAGGCGCAGATTCACGCACCGACGCCAAAACTGAACCTACAGTGGGTCCGCAAAGCTGATGTATGGTCTTTCCTGGTAGGCCAGGAAGGACCATACACCAAGCCAGGGCCACAGGGGTACACATGGCCATCTCTATTGCTGGTGCATCTCTAACAGCCGTCCCCGAGCTGCCATGTATGTGGGCATCCGTCATGTTGAGCTCAACGGTGAAATCCTTCTCGTACGCCAGCAGGTGGGCTGCCTTCCGCTGGTCTGGGGTGAGGCCGTTCTTTTCGCTTGCGAGGTGATCCTCCGCAGGGGCTCGCACAACCGCTCCAGTCCCGGAGGAGGCAGGAAGAAGGGGAGAAGGAGTGGGAGGGTCTCGCTCGCTCCTCGTCCTCCCTCCAGCCTCCTCCCCTCCTCCCTCCTCCCTTCGCCCTCCCTCCTTCTCAGAGGTCTCCCACATGGGGTCCGAGCAGATGAGGTCGAAGGATCGTGCCGCACCGCGGATGCATCGGCGATGCGTCGGCGATGCATCGGCGACGTCGGCGATTCATCGGTGACGCCGGCGTGAAGAAAATCGGGCTCCACATCGAGCCGCACGGCGGGTGCATCGGCGATGCGGCGCGATCCTCCGACTCCATCCACCCTGACCCCATCTGGAAAGCCTAGGCTCCTCCCCCATCCCCATCAGCCAACAGCGCGGGCCCCCCTCCTCCTCCTCCTCCTCCTCCTCCTCTTCCTCCTCCTCCTCCTCCTCCTCCTCCTCCTCCTCCTCCTCCTCCTCCTCCTCCTCCTCCTCCTCCTCCTCCTCCTCCTCCTCCTCCTCCTCCTCCTCCTCCTCCTCCTCCTCCTCCCCCTCCTCCTCCTGTTCCTCCTCCTCTCCAGGGTCTGCGACGGGGTGGCGGCGGGGCGGGCCACCGAGAGGAGCCCCGCCGCGGTGGCCAGCGCTGGCAGGCCTCACGACGCTGCGCGGAGGGCGGGCGGCGCGCCGAACATACTGCGGCGGCTGGTGGGCCGGGCACTGGCAACGCCCCGCAAGGAGGCGGAGGAGCAGGCGGAGGAGGAAGAGGCGGAGCAGGAGGAGGAGGAGGAGGAGGAGGAGGAGGAGGAGGAGGAGGATGCTGATGAGGCGGAGGAGGAGGCGGCGGAGAAGGAGGAGGAGGAGGAGGAGGAGGACCGGAGGAGGAGGAGGAAGAGGAGGAGGAGGAGGAAAAGGAGGAGGAGGAGGAGGCACGAACTGGCCGACGCCGTTGGGAGGCAGCAGCTCGCCGTGGGCACAGCGGCGGGCACCGAGCTCCCTGCACACACGGCGCGGGCTCTGGAGGAAGCTGTCATCGGCGACCTGGTCGCGGTCGCGCCGAAGGCAAAGAACGCGCACTTCTCCGCCAACAGGGAGGCTTGCTCGAGGGAGCTTGAGGCGGCGGCGCCAGCGCTGCTGCCCTGCGCGAACCTCTCGTGCCGTTGGGAGTCCCTGACATACTTGAGTAGGGACGTGTGACCAGGGTCTGCCACTGCCTGCGCTCCACTGGCGGGGTGGACCAGGCGGACCCGCTAACGCCGCTGCTCTTCACCTGCGGGATGCGGCCTCGTTTGCGCGCCGCGCGCCCTGGAGCAAGCCTCGCGAGAGGCCGCGGGGCAAAAGGGGCTGTAGCCAGGCGACGTGCACATCCTCGCCTCCTGCTGCGGGGTTCGCGGGCGGAGTGCAAGCGGGGCACACGGCCCTGGCCGACCTGGGCCCAGAGCTGGACACGCGAAAGACGCAAGCCTGGTCTGGAGGAGCAATGGCGGGCGCAGTGCTTGACCCTTCTGCGAGTGCCGCTCGGGGACCCCTTGCCAGCGGGGGGGCCGAGGGACGAGAGCGAAGGGCGCCGCATCAACCTCGGGTCGGCGGCCGGCGGAACTCTTCGCCAACCTGGCTGCTCTCCTGGCAGAGGCCTCGCCGCAATTGCCCGCCACGCATACCGCTGGGCTCCTGCTGCGCAACTGCGGCGTCAGCAAGCTGACGCACCTTTTCTGGTCGAAAGCGCCGGCGGGTTCGGAGGCCGCCGCCGCGGCTTACGACAGCTCCTTGCTGGCTGCGTACGAGACGCACGCGGACTTGGACCCGCCGACGGAGGCGCAGCGAGCGCAGTGCGAGCTGTTGCTGCTGCTGCTGCTGCTGCTGCTGCTGCTGCTGCTGCTGCTGCTGCTGATGCTGCTGATGCTGCTGATGCTGCTGCTGCTGCTGCTGCTGCTGCTGCTGCTGCTGCTGCTGCTGCTGTTGCTGCTGCTGCCACGCACCCGCGGGCGCCGCTTGCGCAGCCAGCAAAACCTGGCGCCAGCTGCATGGGCCTCCTCCTGGGCGCAGAGCTCAGGCGGGGTGCGCGAGCGCAGCGCGCCCTCACCCTCGCAGGCGCCTGCCGAAGCGCCCTGGCTGGCCTCGCGCAGATAGCGCCGCCGCCCCCGCCGCCGTCGCCGCGCCCCAGCGCGGAACCTGCCGAATTGCCCCCGTGGCAAGAACTGACAGAGACGCCCCACCGCAAGACCCAGTAAGCCCTCACCGCAAGGATCGACGAGAAATACTTCGTTTCTTTTTGGAAAGCCATAGAGCTAGACAAGAGGGCGCTCTTTCGCTTTTGCGGCGAATTGCGCTGGGCGGCAGACGGCCTCGCGCCCGAGCAGGCCCGCGAGAACCTGAACACTGGGCGGACCCTCCCGGGGCAAGACGCAGCGCCGCCCGGGACCGCCCGACGCAACTGCGCACCCGCACAGACGAGCGCGCCGCCCAGCGCTACAGCACTCTTCGGCAAGGCCGGCCACACCTGGCGCTGCCCGCGCCGCGGAGGCCTGAAAGCCCACGGCAGGATCTTGGACCGGTCCATCCATCACGCCGAGCGCCAGGTCCACGCCCCGGCCTGGGACCGCTGGAAATGGCGCTGCACCTGGCGCAACGCGCGCAGGACCGCCCCGGCGCGGCCAGCTGTTGCTTGCGCCGCCTGCGGCCACGGCCTGGCTGCCGAGCGCGAGGAGGCCACCCTGGACCTGCAGGCGCAGCAACCTGGCCAGCCGCGTTCCTGCGTTAATGTCGCCGTCAAGTCCAGCGCACCCGGTGACATCGACGCGTTGCGGGCCGCCCCTGGCCGCGACAGGGCGGCGAACGCCGCCGCGAAGGCGGACGAGCGCAACCGACATCCAGCGAGGCAGGCCTCGGCCAGGCGGCGCCGCGGCATCTCCGAAGCGCGGCCCGGAAGCGCGCCCGCGCTGCTGACGCCGGGCAACGACGCCGAGGCGGAGGACATCGCTGGGCTGCTCGTGTCATGACAAGGCCAGGAGTTGAGCGCTGTCCTCCACCGGGTCACGGCGCAGCAACTCCGGACCGCTCTGGGGGCGGCTTGCCGCCGCGGCGGCGCAACCGCCGGGCTGCTGGGCGCTCGCCTCCAGCAGCAGGTTCGGCGCGGCGCGCGCGGAGCTCAGGGTGCGAGAGGGCGCCCAGAGGACCTGCATCGGCGCTCGCAAACTATGAAAACGGACGCTGTGTTCGCGGAGGCGAATGAACACGGGCAACACGCGACTAAAACGGGCACGGGAGCGCCGCGGGCCCCCGTGCCCCAGATCCTAACGGCAGCGGCAAGGGGAGACAATTAAGCGGCGCAAAGGGGCAGGAAAGATTGGTAGGCTACCATTCGACACTGGTGCCCCAACGACTCCGCCTGCGCCCCGTCTGTCACAGCACGCAAACCGCGCCGCAACAAACGAGGCCGCATGAACACTTGTAGCAAGACCCAACGCACCCTGGCCCCCCATGGCGCCAACCGCAAAAAAAAAAAAACTTCTACGGCACGCGAGGGGAAACACGCAGCACTCCCAGCAGGGCTTCTAGAGCAAGCCGAAGCAGGGCGAAGCAGGCCGCGACAGGAAGCAAGACTAGCCAAGGGCCTCCCACGAGCCAGCTCCCCCATAGAAAGTTACAAGTGTGCGAGGAGAGCGAACAATTGGAGCGCACAGACAGACGATTGACGCACTGCGCGCCAAAACATCTGCTGCCCCACGAACACAAGTCCTGGTAACAGCCCCTCAATTGCATGACTCACTAAGTCGCGTTTCTGAACACGATTAGCATTGTGCGGGCGTTCTCCCAGACGCCCTGCCACGTCGCATTCGCGAACAAAGTTCGCGACAAGCGACCGCCGATGTTACGTTATGTTGCTTAAGTACATGTAGAGGAACTTCTGGCCGATCATCCCGTCGGCGACACGTTCCCCTCATCCGCCCTCGGGTCGCTGTGGCGAGAGCTGGGCGCGATCTTCTCGTGCCCCTCGTCGCTCAAACTGACCGCGGCGCGGACGCATTCGAGCTTCCCGCACATCGGGTCCAGGATCACCTTCCGGCCGATGCCCCCCATCGTCATGGGGCCCGCCCTCGCATCACGGGCATCGCACCACGGCATGTCGGTGATCTGCATGGCGCGGAGCTGGTCGGAAAGCCATCGCGCGTGGTCTGCCATGCTGCGATCTAAAGGTAGACGCAGATAGCCACGGCGATGGCCGCGAACACGGACATCCCGTCCACGACCAGGGTTGCCAGCATGGCGCAGCCTCCCTCCTCTCTCAGCACCCTGGTCGCCTCGGCCGAGACTGGGCCCCATATCATCTCGTGGAGCGCGAGGAGGTAGGCCTGCAACCCATCTGCTGCGCCGCACGCTGCGAGCAGCTCGGAGCCGAAAGAAGACCTGCACAAAAGTTTACGCGAGCCGCTCACGGCGTCGAGCAAGTGGCGGGCCTCCTTGCCGGCGCTGCGGCGCGTGCCGAGGAGCACGTAGACGGAGCACCTCATGCCGCACCCCGTCTCCTCCTCCCTCTTGAAAGACCCGTCACTGCGCACGCAGACCTGACCGGCGCATTCCACGGCAGGACAGGCGACGCGCGCCTTGATCTTCTGCTCGGCAAGGACCACAGAATCGAGCTGCAGAACGCGTCGCATAAGCAGCTTTCTCCTGGCCTGTCGCAACGCAACAATGCACGCTGCGACGCGGTGCTGGGTGAGCACGGCGCAAGCAGCTGCACCCGTCAAGGAGACGAAGAGGTCGGGTAGTTAACCTCCTGTGGGCTCGTCGGCATTCGCCTTGACCAGGTCGACGTGCCTGAGCGGTATCAGGGCGTCGATGTACTCGTGTACTCGTTCTGGTCGAGCGTCACTGCACCGTCGGTGCTGCGGCGTCAGTGAACACCGCAGTTGGTGAAGTCGTCGTAGCCCCCCTCCATCTGGCCGAAGACGCTCTCGACATGGTCAATGAGATTGTCGACGTGCTCCTTTTGTCCAGCGATCTCC